TTAGTGCCAATTCTTGCGCTTGGACCTCGAGCGCTGTTGCTGATATTGGAGCATGGAGGATGCTATAGCCATCTCGGCCTCTCTTACCAAGTCTCTCCATCCTTACCGTCAAAGGTCTTGAAGCTCACCATGAGCGTGCTGGGTCGGGAGAAATTATCCGTCGTCGACGGTGGTATCATGGACGCAGTCAGCGCTGACGGTTTCTGCTGTAGCTACTCAAACAGAACATTTTCATATTTTGAAAACGCCTCTAGGCGCGCGCTTATTGCCTAGTGACCTTGCGAAACAAAGTGTTCCAGGGCCAAGCAGGGACGTCAGCTTATTAAGCCCGTCCTGCATGCAGGAGTACTGCTTTATCCTCACTGAGGATAAGTCGTAATGACTCAGGCAGAGATTGAATACAAGTGCTACCAAGTGCAGCAGGGCTGCCGTAGCTCTTTGCCTAGAGGAAGCTAGGTTAAGGTCAACGAACGAACGTTCTTTACAAGAATCATTACGAGTGTAGCGGATCGCAATCTTCTACCAAGAAAGGTAAAATCTTCCGCTCAAAATTCAAACTGTATTTAATTATTGTAGTTGCTGCAGATCTAACACTCTTGGTTTTCCTTATAAATATATAGTAATACCTAATTAATATGCATTATTACTGGCAATCCTGCCACGTTGTGGCTTCTTGTTACGGTGTAGGTATATTAGTATTACACCAACTGGTGTAATCCACACATATGTAGGGTTCACACCATCCGCCCTTTCATCAAGGGTACGTGTAACCCCGTAACATTATATTTGCATGCTTGAAAGAGAAAGAAAATTTTGGCCACGACATGCATGTGGTTCTCTCACACAGGTGAGGTTGCGACCGCAGCAGCTCTGGGCCATTGCTTAAGCTCGGCATATGACCTGCGGCTTCCGTGGCTATTGCCGAGAAGCGCGGGGTGTACGACAACGCGGATCATCATGATCCTTCTGATCATAATCGTCCTCGACGTCTGGGTAATCTTGTCTAAATGGCACTTCAAACTCCCACGAGTTCTTCAAGACGGGGTTCCCCGCCACTTCACAACTGGCACGCCTCACGGCGTGTTGCTTGCTTCCTGAGGGACGCTGACGTTGACAGGAGGATAGGAAGTGACACATATTATTATAGCCAATAGGCTTTTAAACTCCCTGACCTGATAAGTACTTCTAGTTCTGATACAATAGAGCTGAATGTGGATATGCAACCATATAGGGTTATATATGGTGTACAATCAATGTGAGACACGAAAAGAATGTGATCTACACAACATGTTCATGGGACCTGGTCATTACAACGAAAACTGGCCCATTACATTCGAGACCTGGCCCATTACACATAAAACCTGGCCCATTTTTATATCACACACTTTGCGTGTCTCACATTAATTGTACACCCTATATAACCTATATGGTTGCATATCCACTTTTAGCTCTATTATATCAAAACTGGAAGTACTTATCAGGTCAGGGAGGTTAAATGCCTATTGGCTATAATAATATGAGTCACTTCACCTTTCCTCCTGTCCGTCCCGCGAAAAGCGTTCCAGTTAACCTGAAATTCCTCAGAAAATTGTGTGCACCGGACACTCAAACTTTTTGAGAAATGATCAATTAAAAATTTGGTCAGAGGACCACAGTGGCTATAAATTATCAGGCAGGATAAAATTCAACATTGCAGCGGCAGCAAGTACACTGTGTGCGACCAAGAGACTGGTTTTGACACTCACGAGACGAAAGCAGAGGTTTACACATACATCAAAACTACAATGGAATTGATTGCGGTTGCTGTTGAATTGCAACCTCGCAGCACCTCGATCGCGGTAGTAGCGTGAGTAAGCTGACTGCGAATCACTCTATATTGTACAGTTTATATTGGATGCGAGGACGTTACATTGTTATTTTTTTAAATTTAATCAGAGAGCTTAATGAGCACCTAGATAAAGCTTCACAACAAAATAGGGAGTTGATATATTCACTCACTTTTCGGTTATATTCACTCACTTTTGCTTGTAC